AAATACAATAAGTATTTACCAGAAAGATTTTCACATTTATTAACATTTTTCTACATGTAACTACATTTGTGTGTATGAAATTCAGTCACTATTTATATTACCATGGTTCTTATTAATTTTTAGACTCTCTGTTTAGTTACACTTACTTTAATTTAGAAATCAATAGCAAGAACACTAGTGTTAAGTAAAATGTTAAGACTTACAAAGTAAAATTTTAACTTTTATATTCATTGTAACTTGTAACTTAAATAATTTGTTGAAAATCTGAACTCAGCACTACCGAATGTATTACAAAGCTTAAAAATGATCATACGTTACTATGTAATAGTATATATTTAGTAAATCTCCCGGCCCGGGGTGCTACCACTGCTTATATACGAGATTTTGTGTGGCTTTTGTTATCAACACGATAATTATTATTATTTATTATCATTAGTATTCTTGTTTTTATTTTACAATTTCGTTCACTGCCTACAACGTTCTTGAATATCTCAGTTTCTTTTTTTCTAATTGTGATTATTGTTAACATTGCTTACTGTTGTAACTTGACAGAAATATTCAGGTCAGTGTTTGAAAAATTAAAACCAACTCCTCAACTACCTGAATGGGTTAGGCAACTACTAAGGGAAGCTAAAATGCACATAATATAATTTTGAAAACCTTCAGCCATTGTAAACAGCTGTAGATGCTGAAGGACCTAAATTTTATTGGATACATCACACATCACATCAACAGCCTTTAGTAGTCCACTGCTGGACATAGGCCTTTCCTTAGACAGGAGGTTTTGGCCTACTATAGCACGCTGGCCTGACGGGTTGGTATAGGGTTTGTATCAAGTTTTCCTTCTCTTTGCAGTGCTGTTGACCTGCGTAGTTTGCTCCCTTAGTCGGCTCCTATCCTATCGCAGTCCACTGCTGGACATAGGCCTCTCCCATTGCGCGCCACTTAGATCGATTTTGGGCTTTTCGCATCCAGCTCCTGCCAGCCATCTTGCGCAAATCGTCACTCCACCTGGCCTGTGGGCGTCCTACCATTTCTGATGCGATCCCTTAGAGAAACACCGAGACCACTCCGCCGCAGCTCACGGCCTCCTCGGTCACGGCCCTAAGGCGCATTACGGCATCGATCGTCGAACGCCCCGCTCGGAAACCGAATTGGGCGTCCGACAGATCGGGGCCAACCTAGCAAAGGTGCTGGACGATGCGGGCAGAGAGCACCCTCTCAAAAAGTTTACCCGCCTCGTCCAGCAACACGATAGGCCTATAGGCCGCGACCGATTCGGCAGGCCGTCCCGGCTTCTGCAGCAGGACCAGCTTCCTGCATTTCCAGCGCTCAGGGAAGCGTCCGGACGCCAGGCTAGCGTCCAACACCCCCCTGAGGTGGTCCGACATGTAGTCGAGGGCTCGGGCCATCACTCGGGCTGGAACCCCGTCCGGCCCGGGGGCAGTGTTCTTGGATCTAATCCGTAGAACAGCCGCCCCCAACTCCGATTCCCTGACGGGCGGAACATCAGCCTCGCTGCCCCCGTCGTCTCCGGCTGATGCAGTCATCGACGGGGGTGTGTGCTCCCCTCGGTGCGGGAATAGGCCCTCGACCACTTCCTGCAGGAAGCTGGGCTGGAGAGTCTCCGTAAGGGGGGGCCCGACGTGCGGAGCTTTTGACGCACCGCACGATAAGGGCGACCCCAGGGGTCACGCTCGAGACTCTCCAGCATCTCCTCTCTACATGCATCTTTGGCGCGGCAGATGGCCAGCCTCAGAGTTTTCCGAGCTTCTCGGTAATCCTCATGAAGCCGGTCCACCTCCTCACCGACCCCGCGGTGACGTCGCCGACTACGGGTGAGGGACCTCCGGGCACGTACACAGGCCGCACGGAGGTCCGCCAACTCCTGGGACCACCAGTAGACCTCCTTCCTTGGAGGCCGACAACCACGAACGCGGGGCATGGCCGCATCGCAAATCTGCGTAAGTGCTTCGCAGAAGCGACCAGCCCCCATGTCGACCTCCTCGGTCGGGGCCTGTGGAGACAGCCAAGAGTAAATAATGGCCGCCTCCTCTAGTAGGTCCCTGTCGAGCTTGGCGACAGCCCACCGCGGGAAGCGGGAAGGGCGCCGCGCCGCGTGACCCCTACTGGGGTCCTGGGACCGGGAGAGCTCGAATCGGATGTACAAATGATCCGAGAGCGTCTCGACCTCTTCCAGGACACACCAGTTCCTTACTCGTGCGGCGACTGCAGGGGTAGCGAACGAAAGGTCCACTATCGACCCCCCCTGCTGTCGCACGCACGTGTTGGTGGAGCCTCTGTTCAGCAAACAGAGGCCCACCGACGCCGCCCACTCCTCGACGGCTTCGCCCCTGGCGTCCGTCGCAGGGGAACCCGACGCAATGGACTTTGCGTTGAAGTCCCCCAGCACAAGGACGTGCCCAGACACTAGTCGCCGCATCGAGGCCTCCAAGTTGTTAAGGAAGACCTCGAAGTCGTTGAAACTCCGGTTGGGGGAGAAATATACACCATAAATGGTGATTCCCCCCCAATTGGCGGCAACATATCCAGTACCGTTGTCTCTTAGCGACAAGGGCGGGGAATGAGCCGCCGTGGAGCCGACGACTGCCACGGAGCCGTCCCGGTCACCCATCCAGTTTGGACGGGGAGGGACAAAATAGGGCTCCGCGACTACGGCAACACCTATCGACCACTGTGCCATGGTTTGCAGGAAGAGATCCTGCGCCGCAGCACAGTGGTTCAGATTCGTCTGGACCAGGAGGTTGGAGACTTGATCCATTACTGGATCGTCTCTACAACCTCCTCCATGGGCGTCGGCGTCGACGCAAGATTGACGTCGGAGGTAGCCTGGGTCGGCAGGCTAGCCCCCGACGTTTGCCGAGAAGCGCGGGGAGGCTTGCAGCCCCCCTGCCCCATCTGGTGATTGGCGGGCTTTTTAGCCGACGCACACACGGGGCAGTGAGGGGCGGCAGAGCACTCTGCCGCCTTGTGCCCGGGTTGACCGCAGCGGAAGCATAAACCGCTGCAGTCAAAACAGCTCTCGCACCTGGTGCGAGTGTGTCCCGCGGCTAGGCACTTGAAGCACCTCATCGGCCTCGCGGCCAGAACCGTGATTCTGGCATTCACGAAGCCGACGAGCATGCTTCCGGCGTCGCCCAACGCTTTGGCCGACGCCACGGGACAGCTGACCCACACCGCACCGAGGCCTCCCGGACCCGGACGGACGATGCCGACTCTGATGGTGTCCGCGGTGCACCCAGTCTTCTCCATGACTGCATCGCGGACATCCTCCGACGTTATAGAGTCGTTCAGGCCCGAGATGAGCAGTTCCGCGCATTTGGTGGGCCTGGCGATCTTCACACCGTCCGTGGTGGCAAAAATCCCCCGGCTTCTCGGCGAATTTATCGGCCGTCGCCGCGCCTTCAGCCCCAGGGAACTCGAATACTCGAGCTCCCGTCTGGGCGCGGCGCAGCCTCATCCCCGCCGCCCCGAACTCAGTGGCGAGACCGGGCCTGGCCCCCTTGAAGAGGGCCGCATACGAAAGCCCGCCACTGGCCGCCTCCGGCGACAGCGTCACTACTACAGCCGCGGTTTTGTGCGGCTGCAGCTTCCGCGGCCTCTTTTTTGAGGCCGTTGCCACCGGTGGCGAAGGCTGGGCCTTAGGCCGCTGCGACGAATCGAGCGGGGGGCGCACGACCGGCGCAGGGGGCAGTCTCGCCTCCAGGCCGGCCAGACGGCCGTCCAGCATACGCCCAACTGCGTCGAGAATTGACCGCAGTTGGGCGTCAGGTACCCCTGAGGTTGCGATAGGGACAGGCTGGGGCGCGGACGGGGCCTCCCGCTCGGGGAGGTTCGCCTGGAAGCGGGCGAACTGAGCGCTCAGCTCGTTCACCCGCTCCGTCAGCCTCTCGTTGGCCAACTGCAGGCGAGAGACGTCGCCCACTAGGCCCTCCACGACCTCCGACAGAGCGGAGGAGGAGTCCTTAAGGGCCCTCACAAACGAGCCCTTAAGGTTTACGGACTTGGTGGCCACCTTGTGGATGACGGCCACCGCCGCTTTCGCCCTCTCCTGCACGGACACGGGAGCCTGGGGGGCATTTCCCCCCACCGGCTCCCGAACCTTGAGCAGGAGATCCGCGATCTCCTCCTCCGCTACGGCCTCGCCGTCCACCCGTACACTTCTGTACGACTCCGCGTTGGAGAACGCGGAGCCTGACGGGGTTGAGACCGAGGCCGAGGCCGGTTTACGTGGCCTCCCTCGACGGCTGCTTGCCACCTTTGGTGGCATCATCTCTTTCCTCGTCCCTGGAGCGTCCGCGTTTCCGGCTGTCGCTTCGCTCCGCCTCCATGGCCTCCGCGCCATCCGACGAAACGGCGGATCCGGAACGCAGCCGATCTGATGCTCTTCGGCTCCCAGAGACCAGCGTCAGACTGACTTCTGGGAGCCCCACCGAGATAGGCGTTCCCGACGCCACCTCACCCTCAGTGGACGACCCATCCACTCCACTGTTCCTCCTCTTCGTCTAGTGAGTTGAACTATCTATAGCAACCTTCTGTTCGTTGGTAAGCGCATCACTTGAGAATTTTCCAGAAAGTGAAATTTAAGGTGAGTAAAATAACCTTGAAGAGGATAAAATAGAAAAAGAAGCTTACTGATCTACAATAAAAAAAATCGTTTAAAACAGTAAAAAACGTGCCCTTTTTTGTTTTACAGTGTTTACTCAGTAAGAATATAGCCGCATACTGCCATCTAGCGAGTGGTTTATGGATTACAATAGCAGTTACCTCTGTGCTTTGAGCTTTCAAGAACTCAAACTTGACATGCGCCTAGCAATCAACGCTACAAGCCATAGCGGGTCTTAATATTATACATTGTAAGGCTGAAGTTTCCATGAATAGTGTCGCGCGTGCGCTGTTAAATTGATTTCTAATGTCACCCCTTGACAGTTGTAAAGAACGTGAAGTCGGAAATTTTGATGTTATTTTGGTTTTTGTAAATGAAAATAAGTGACATACTGAGTGATGCTGCAGAAATGAAACTGGAAGGTATGCACTTACATTTACTATATTGTAAATCTTACAGTTATCTCTATTTGATTGCTCATTAAAATCACTTTTATAAAGCAGTGTTTAGTTATACCTTCCCTGTTGTTGCCTTCTTAGTTGATGCCTTTCTGATCTGCTAAGACATATGATGTGTTATCTTTTGATTATGACTTGCTTTTGCACGCGACTTCTAGCGTATTTTTCTAGTCACCAAGGAGTTGTTTCCTGGATGGAAGTAACGTTTTAATGTGTATGCAAAATATTAAGGTGATCGGATGAACAATACGGCATGTATGCCGACATGCCACAAACGCACAGTACAAAAAACAGGCATTAATAAAGTTGGCGTTGACGGTTGAACTCTGATAAACAATAAAAACAATTAAAGTCACCACTCCTAGGAAATTTTTGTCAACTTTAGTTTAAAACTTCAAATTAAGTCGTAACCTTATGACACTAGGATATTTTTGTTAGTTATGTGTATCAATTGGATGCTCCTATCTGATACCACAGCATTAGTGTATAAAGGCATTAGAGTATAAACCAAAATGTAACCAAGGCTTACGAATAAAAAGAATCCGTGACCCGCTGATGGATCCATTGTATTCTCATGGGATTAGGGTGTTATCACGCGATAATATGACGGGACGGACGACAAGGGTCTTTGTTCCAGTTATGGTCGTGACACACTGCCTTTCTAGATAGTGAATAAATTTAATCAGGGTATGAGAATACTTCTACTACTTAAATTACCTTTAAAATATTTTAATACATAACATGTTTTAGCCGAGTTAAGATTGCAAAGTCACTGCAAAATAAAATAAATCAATAGATTTATTTTCTTCAGTTTGGAATCAGATTATGGCCGTGAGAGAAGTTGAGTCAAGTTATTATTATTATACTTAATAAAAGCATACGCTTAAGCATACTGCTAATTTACATACCTACATAATTGTTTCGTTTTGCTTCTTGTGGTTGATAGTGCAAAGCTGTGTACCTACTGTTTGTAAACATCTTTTTAATATTCAGTAAATAACGTGATTTGATGTTAACGCACCCCGTCAATCAATTACTCAATATTATATAAGTCTTATTTAAATCTATCGGGATTGGTTTCTTTCACGGGGTAAACAATATAGGTACGTGTATTTTAAAAATATTCAGCTATTAAAAAAAAAGTCAACGAAGTAACGTATTCCCATCATATTACATTACGTAACTTGCTAAAAGATCTTCATTCTACTAGTCTGTATGTCCCCATACATTTCAGAGTACCGCTTGCTCCGGACACCCCGACATATGGACCGCGCACTTGTCGAACAGCGCATAATTTGTCCTCCATTACTGCTCTATAATGCTCTATATTAAACCAGGGTTTTATTAAAGACCAGTGTCGTCTTTCGCCTGTACCAACTGTTCGACTATACGCGAAATTGAGGGGACCAAATAAATTATGCATTCGATACATTGAATGTTCTTTGTAATAGATTTTTTATCTAAAGGGTGGACGGCACCTGTTTCTTTTTGTTTTGAATGTAAGAGAATAATAATCTGATTTACTTAAATATCTGGTTGTTTTTTAAATCGATATACGTTTAAGCGACATTGTCTGATCAACATCTTTTCTTTTTCTTTTAAAAACTCTCACTAGATGTACAAAGAAACGTCGAAGTGATTTCATGATTTTGACTGGACTCTAGTAACTATCATGGTCCCCTTTGAAAGACGTGCGAATACAAGAGCACAATGGATTCAGCCTTATTTTGTGATGAGGTAAACTTAGTTTATGGCACTGCTCAGTGAGTATGGAGGAGGACGAATACACCGCCGGTGTCTCTTGCAGCAACAGGCCTGAGATGGTGGCGCGGCGTGTTCCGCACCCGATTTCCTAGACAGGGGAGAACCAAACTTCGCAACACCATTCTTCCTGCTAATCATTCTTCTTGCCGCTAAGGTCTATGAGGGTTCTTAGATGCTTTGTCTTTAGGGTCTACAGGAGTCACTTGCAATAGACCCACTTGCGACGGTATACCGTGCGGTTTTAATCGATTCAATCTTGTCCTAACACTTCACCGTTTGCTGTGAGGGGATTACCTGCATTTTTACTTATTGTGTGGAAGTTCGACAGAAAAAACTAAGCTGTATTATTTTTACAGACTAGGTAGCCGTATGCGTTTTCAAAATGACTGTCAATGACTATGCCTTAATCAGAACTGTACTCTTCATTTAAGCTTGTGCTTAATGTTTAATACCATTACACGTTTATGTTATAAGAATGTTTGAATTGTTGTTTGAATCTGCGAAATAGTCGCATTTCGTAAGCTTTCTTCTTTTAGAGACATTTTGACTGTTGTCCGATTCAAAACAAAACATAACAAAATCCAATACGCAAGTCAAACATAATTAATTCTTCTACAGAAGAATGTTGTAAAATCCAATAGTTACTAAATTTGTGAATCAATATGACTTTTATGATCACCATGTTAATTAGACATCTTTATTTCATCAATAGTTGTTCGTAACTGTAAGTTTAAATATCATTATAATTCTCATAGAGCATTCAAATCTCTCTTTTACCTTTCTATAACAATAAAAAACCAAACTAAACTACTAATTTCAGCCAGCTCAAAATATTCAATCTGAGATTTGTTTGAATGATGACAAATGTAATGGGTAGGGCCCTTGTGAAATGAGGTGTGAATATTGAGTCCCTGCGGGATACATGGGACCGCATGGGGACACCCCAGCTGCCAGGTCCTCCACCCTTTATGTTGCAAAGTACAATGCCGAACAAATTAAAGACAGGTATTAAAGTGATGTTAGTTTTGTAATTGTTGTACGACGATTGTTGCAATGTATTTATTGGCGGCGCGTGCCGTTTGTATGTGGGTATATTTCAATGAAATATATGTTAGTATAGAATTTACCGCACGTGATAGCTGTTTTTTAAGGCATATAAAGGAGTGGTACATCTTGATGAGAAGAATATAGTATAGGTACAGGAACAAAACCTTGGGAACCTAAATTTAATACAACTAGTGTTAGAACTTGTACTGGCTGAATTATATAACTTACCTTAGGATACGAGTTTCATGTAATAAAAGTTACTACTAGGCATGCCTTTTAAGTTCTGTCGTTTCCATATTTCCCGGCTATTTTGAATTTGGAACTGTTTTACATTCGAATGTGTTTAAATTTTCAATCTCAAAACAGTTAAAAGGATTGAGATTATTGCTATTGTTTAGTCACAGCGTCGAATGGAATCTATCAGGTGACGTACGAAAATGAATCTTTCTAAGAAAAATGTTTGTCCAATAATTTTCTACAACTTTAGAAGAGGCCTGACACGGCTTCAGTGTTTTGAAGAGCTAACATCTGTGTTCAGTAATGAAGCCCCATGTCTGCGGACTGTCGAACGCTGGTATTTGGAATTCCAGCGTGGACATACTAGTGTCAGTGACAAATATCGCGAAGTACGCCCAAAATCCGCCTTCACTGAAGTTAACATCGTTGCTGTGAGACAAATAATTCTCGAAGATCGTCATGTGACGTATCGAGACATAGAGGCTCTATTAGGCATCTCAGGGACAACCATTCAGAAGATCTTGGATGAGTGGTGATGAATCTTGGATCTATGCCTACGATCCTGATTCCAAACAACAATCTACAATCTGGGTCTTTTAAGACGAGCGAAAGCCGACTAAAGTTGTTAATTCTCGAAGCACTTCAAAGAAGATGGCTGCCACGTTCGTTGGAAAAACCAGCCATGTTGGGACTATTGCACTTGAAGATCGTAGAACAGTTAACGCAGAGTGGTATACCACAGTTTGTTTTCCACAAGTCATCGCCAAACTTTGAAAATCTAACTCACAGCGATGCATCATCCTGCACCACGACAACGAAACGATTGAGTATTTGAAGCAGGAAAAAGTAGACATTCTTGACCATTCTCCATACAGTCCTGACCTAAGCCCTAACGATTTTTTTACATTTCCTAAAATTAAGAAAAGTCTTCGTGGTCAAAAGTTCCAGTCCGGTGAAGAAGCAGTCAAGGCTTTCAAGTCAGCCATTTTGAACACCCCCACTTTAGAGTGGAATAAATGTTATAATAACTGGTTTGAGCGAACGGAAAAGTGTATTGAGCTACGTAATGAATACTTTAAAAAACAATGAAAAGTACTATAAGGTTCTAGTTGTGTTTTTGTCTTCAAACGACAAATCTTAAAAGGCATGCCTCGTAAGTATTCACAGAATAAGCCATATATTTTAATAAATCATAGGCATACAACCATTTTGAAAGATTACCAAACATAATGACAATTTTATTTGAATTCAAAATCTTAAAAGGATATTATTGCTTCAGCTAATTTCATGCAGAATTGAGATTGGCGTTTGACACAAAATATTTAAACGTATTCAGTTATTACGGCTAAATTAGGTAGGTATATAATAAATTAACTTTCGTTGAGTTTTTGCGAAATGAATAAGCCGTAAATACTGTCCGTATTGAGAAGTTATTTAATATCAACTTGTTTCCTATTACTTTCAGCATGTCTACTACTATTAGTGAATACGATGACGTACGGCTTAAAGCGAGGGCCACATCACCCGCACGGACAAATCCCAGTTGACCAGAAGCACCACCATTACAAGCCGAGAGGCTCTGAATCATTAACTGCAGACGCTCAACTCTTACATGACACTAAGTATGAGCATTATAAAAAAAGTATAGTAGCTATACTTATAGATATTACTTTGGTATGAATAATTTTATGGTTAGAAAGATAAATAGAAAATTATTTTTAATACACATAATACGGAACTATTCATTCAAAATCAAATTAACGTGATTCAATATTTCATTCTTTTTGAGATATTTTTTTGTGTTTTTTTAAATATTAGTGTATTATTTCTTGAAATCAGTTTTTACTCTACTACAAAGTTACCAAGGAAAAGTCGATTTTCTAGTTAAGCCAAAATTAGTTAATGACACGTTAATGAGGATTAAAATAATGTTAATCGTCATTATATTAATGTAATTGTTTTCCTTGCAGACATATAGAAGAAGATTCGGAAGGATTGACTGCAGAAGCATTGTCGAAAATGACGCCTGAAGAATTAGAGTTCCATTACTTCTCCGCTCACGATTTTGACAAAAACTCTTTGCTCGACGGCTTAGAGTTATTGAAGGTTTGTTAATGAAACTGACTATAGATAAATGTACACATGTTAACCGTCTATAGTACTTAGTGTTGTAATAGAGTAGAAAATGTTGACGGAGAGAGAGAAATACCATTGTCAATAAACTGTTGGACACTGATTGCGAAAGCTTACTGTTTATCGGGCCCTGCATTTGTTTGCATTTTAACATGAAGAATTTACTTAAATTCACGAAGCCACAATTTAATTCAATCCTAACGATTAAGGCCCTCAAGACGGCCTTAATAAGATTCCCTATTTAAAAAAAACTATAAGCGGAAAATTAAAAACCTCACGGAGTATTACGTAGTGTATAGTAAATATATTAATAGTCCTATCGTGTATTTCAACTTAAGTCTATTCATGTACATAAAACTATGTAAGGCTTCCGATCCGCCTTCGCCGGAATACGCATATCCTTACGCTTCTGTATAATATATTGTTTAATCCATTAACTCCTATTTACCTTAAAGAACGCTTTAAGTTCCTTCATGACACACATATGAAATGTCTGAGGTCCTCTGAAAGCCTGAGATTGGAAATACCAAGGCATTCTACCAATTTCTACACATTTTCCGTAGAAGCTGTAGGTTTATGAAATGCCTTGTCGGTTACTATCAGACGTGCGCAATCCGTAACCACCTTCAAGACTATGCTATATGAGCATTATCTGTCTCTAATAGTTGAAAATTAGCGTATGTATATATTAACGTATGTATGTATAGTATTTATATGTAAATATAGATTAGTAGTATTTATGTATAAAAAGTATTTCATAGGTTAAGACTTTATTTACTTCTTTAATTTATGTATACCTATCACCAGTTCATAATGAATCCATCCAAAGGTTGCCTGGAAGAAATTGCACTAAGCGATAAAGCCGCCCTTTGTATATTACATCTGCTGTTAATTACTTTATAAAGTCTTTAAAACCCTGGTGTACAAATAAAGTATTTATCTATCTATCTATCCACTATCAAGGAATTCAAACTAGTAATGTATCACACATTACTATTTTAGTTTACTAGAGATGAATGTAGATTAATGTTAGGGTTGCATTTTCAGGCAGTATATCACACTATAGAACATGAAGCTGACGACCCAGATGCTGATTCGTCTATAGAACCGGAGGCGAATGATCTTGATGCTTATATTGGTAGGTATCTATCTCTGTGTTAGCATTGAATTTTAAAAATGGGGGACCGTGATTACCAATATTTATGTATTTAAAAATATGAATTCTAATTCTAATTCTATTCTACACCTTTGTTAACCAGTTATATAACATATAACTGGTTAACTATTGGTTCTTGCAAAAAGATGTTCCTGCCAGCTTTCCAATACATTTTTTATTCTTGTATTCATTTCCAGCATTGGTCGACCGAACTTTAGAGTCGGATGACAGAGACGGTGATGGTTATGTATCATACGCTGAATATCGAGCCGCAAGAGCAAGCAATCCAGCGGAACGAACACCTCGAGTTCTTGCGTCTAATATACCATAATGTACATAATATCTATGTACTTGTATTATTTATCAAATTCGGAATTTTCAATCTCTCATATACTTAAATCTGACCTCACAAATGCGTTGTTACGCATTGATTTATTAATCAATCGATTTAGTATTGTATAATCGCAATCTTAAGCTTATTTGGTATTGTTTCAATAAATTGATATCTAAAGTCGTTACCCGTAATCCCGTTTTTTTACTCTTTAAAGGTTACATAGGGTAATCTAGTGTAAGAAATGAACTGGTGATCACTTCCTGAAAATGGTACAAATATGGATGGATTGTATTGATAAACCTCTCGATGCGCATATTAAATTTTGATAAAACCAATACTTAAAAACGAGGGTTTGTATTTGCTTTTGCAGTATAATAAATCGTGAATTTCATGAAGTGAGACCTCACTTATACTGTGACCACAATGTATGGTAAACTAATAAAGTTCGAAGTATAACTTTATGTATGTTGACGGGCCTAAATATTTTTACAGTTCTGTAACTGTTCCGTTCCTGATAAACACTCAGTTAATAAATTCTACGAGTACATACATATATATTTATGCCAAAATGTTGTTTTATTTGATAGATATTCTTCCAGTATAGTGTGTTTTGACTACAATAGTGCAATAGAAGTTTTATATCATTAAAAATTATCATATAGCTTTAGGTGGACTTACAATATAAGGGCATGAAATAAAATAATATTGTGTAAATATCTTTATTTGACTTAAATTTAACTATTTAGTCTATTTACTAGTACCGAGTTCAGAGTACACCTTATGTTACTATCATTCTTATCATGTGACTTATTTCAGTTTTAAATTTAAATATCTTAAATATCTATTGACGTTCAAATGTTAATTTAGATTATTTTCGGATTTTGAGTAGACGCACCTATAGAGACTCCACCTTCGAGGCTATTGATGGAATCTACTTATGAAATAATACAAGGTTGAAGGTACAAAGAGGAATACAGACAATAAAATAGAATTGTACATTAACACAATTGTTTGTTGTTGGTTTCATTATAATGATCTTAAATATTTTTATTACAAAACTTTAGCCTTAACCAATGTACTTGTTTTAAGCCATCAAATAACAATGAAATATTATGATTTAAACATAGTTCTTTGTTACTCCAAGTTTCGTAATAAGATTGTCTATTCTCGTTTCGTCATCAGTCGGTTGAAATATTTCATTCGCCGCATTTATAGCGTGTATCGCAATTCATCCCCCTTTCCCCCCATTCGGTCGCCTGTTTGATTCCCCTTGATATTTCCGCATAAGGCTCCAAGTCCACGTTGTGTGTCCTGGAAATATGGTCACTGTTAATGTTTCAGTAAAATAAAATGGATCGAAGCAGCGGTAAGATTTCTTGCTGAATATTATACGGCATATATCCTAAAACTCTTAATCCAATTTTCCTTGGTTAAAGTGTAACTGGCGCCATTAAATATTGTTTTTAACTAGCTGACTCGACAAACGTTGTTCTAAAAAAATGGAATGTGGAGGTAGTAGGGTTAAAAACACTACGACCTATTCTCATACCTACCAAATATACAAAAACAATTATTAAAATCGATCGAGCCGTTTTGGAGGACTGCTACCACAAACACCGTGATACGAGATAGTTGTATATTAGATAAAAGAGTAAATATTTATAACTTTAACGTTAAAGAAAATCTAGCAGTTAAATAACTAGTACTCCAATAAATCGCTTAATTTTAATAATTACGAATAACTTACCCTTGTAGCATCCTTGCGCCTTGCAACAGCAACTCCGACCCTGAGGCATACAGGCCAGCTTGTTGTGGCTTTTGGCACGACAGCAAATATAGGCAGCCATAGTCTTTCTTCTGCTGGCCAGCTATGTAGCTTAAGTACAATAGGATTTCTTCTTCGGTGATGTAGGTGACATTTTTGTTGTCTGTAGAATAAACATGCTAACTATCTTTAAAGGGCTGAATCATTGATCATCATTATGATTATGTCAAGAAAATGAAAAAAAAATGTACAAGATGGGATGACGACCTTGTGAAGGTCGCAGGAAGCCGTTAGATGCGGGCAGCAAAGGGCCGGTTGCTGTGGCGAACCTTGCTGAATATGTCCAGCAGTTGACGTCTTTCGGCTGAGACGATGATGTAACAGATACATGGTTCACAATAAAAATCGTGATAAACCGCCAGATACTACATCCGTGTGGTGACGGATCAAGAATACAGAGTGTGACCTCTATTCGTCACCCACAGGGTGGCGTAAGAGCCGACAAAGGGCAAGCTTTGCAGGAGCTTGAAACAAACCCTATACCAACCCGTTTGGCCAGCGTGGTATAGTAGGCCAAAACCTCCTTTCTTAGGAGAGGCCTATATCCAGCAGTGGACTATTAAAGGCTGGTGATGATGAAAGGGATACCACAAACTTTTTTTAGTCAGTGTCGTTCATTGAACACTGATCAAACATCAGACATGTGATTGAAGGGTTGACCAATAATTGTTTATTTTGTAAATGAAAAATACCGATGGTATGTTCTTACCTTGCTAGAGGAAATAAATATAAGTAATTGTAATATTATGTAAGTATGCGAATATGTCGCACACGAAGTAAGGATACTTCTTTTTGGTTAAAAGCCAAATTTGTACGTTGTTTTCTTTTTATTACAATCTGCCCAATAAAATTAAATCATTAGTATTTACTTAGTAAAGTTTTAAAGTTATAGCAGTATGCACAATTGTTTACCTGTTAACTCAGTTAAGATTAGTTAAGTATTGCTAATTTTGTTTCAGGTTTTATCAGGTTTTATACATTAGTGAGATTAAATCTAAAGTAAAGAATTATTCAGAATAATTACTGGTATTGAAATCAGCCAGGTACAGTGAGTATATCCAAAGAGATTTTTCTTTCATTTATACACACGAAAAGACTTTTTCCCCGACCTAATATTTAGCTAGAAAAAATATTAATATTTTATTATGTTATGGTTGCTAATGATACCAATATTTTTAAATAATTTGAAACAGTATTTTTTCGAGTTGTCGAATAAACTAATTCGATTCAAGTCTGGTTCAAAATCATTATTTCGTTAATAACCGTATGCATCAAAAGGTGAACCGAGATACGGCTCGTCCATTTACTTGATACAATTTACTGACCATTTAGCAGTGAGAGCTGGAGGTCCAGATAATCCTCTAAAAATGAGATTAAACCGGCGGACATGACAAATGCATCGGCTATATAATATTGGATTATGGAATGGTAAGTTTTGTTTGGCACGCGTCCTACGCAGATGGGTCTATTCAGTGATCATCATTTCCTGGTCATTATATAGTTTGTATTGTTGTTTTATCTGCTTGAATTCTTTTTTATGATAAGGGGCATAGTTTATGTACTGATTTTACTGCTAGCATTCGGTGTTCTATGTTTTTAAATTGTTAATTATAAATTTATATTATGTTTTTTTGAACATACAAATCCTTTAAAAACTATGTTGAACTGCGACATTTTTAGATTGCTACGCATAACACTACATCGGCTTCATAGATTTTATTAAGTTAAGCATTGAAACAATAGTGTTTTTTTGTATGAAATGATTATTTTTATGACCGAACAGAGTTTTACTCTTAAAGTACAGTTTCTTTTATTGTACAAGAAACATTATAGGTGATTTGCAGATGAAGGTTATACATTCAGGAAAAGCTCTAACCGAACTCGAGACGGTCGACCTTGTTTCCACTTATCGAAATCGAGAATTACAATAAAAACCTATTAAAAATAACATCGAAAAACAAAAAGATTTAAAATTTAAAGATATTGTTGTAATTCAGAAATAAGTGTAAGTGCGTTATTAACGGGTGGCGCAATAGAACGTGCATATTTAAAATATTGATTAGAAAATAAATACAAAAGGTATAGTTAAAATAAAACTGAGGTATTATTAAGAAATAACTGAAGTTTATTTTTTAAAAATAACATCGTCTAAATGATGACCCTCTCTACGACGACACTCCTCTAATCGCAAACGGAAGTTATTGAAAACTTTCTTCAGTAATGCTGGTGTAATTGCTGCCATTTCACCACGGATATTCTCCTTGAGCTGATCGTTGTTTTTCGGATTATTACTGTAGACTTTGTTCTTGAGGTATCCCCACAAAAAAAAGTCAGGAGGCGTCACGTCTGGACTACGTGGGGGCCATGGGATATCACCTCTTTTCGAAATCAGTCTGCCAGGGAACATCTGTTTCACAACCGCCATGGAGTCATTTGATGTGTGACAGGTAGCTCCGTCTTGTTGAAACCAAGTCCTAGAATTCACTATTCTTGAATTTTCAAGCTCTGGAGCCAAAAAACCTTCCAACATCGCAACATAGCGTTCGGTATTAACAGTGACGTTTTGCCCCCGCGCATTTTCAAAGAAAAACGGTCCAATTATTCCTCTACCAGAGATTGCTGCCCATACTGTCACTTTAGGACTATGCAGTGGTTTCTGGTGCTTGAGTTTGGGATTCTCACTGTTCCAGTAACGACAATTTTGACGGTTTACGAACCCATTGATATGGAAGTGGGCCTCATCTGAGAAAAGGATATTGTCAAAATTGGAAAATCGATTAAGCATTTCATTAGCAAATGCGAGCCTTGCTCCGAAGTCAGACTCTTTCAATTCTTGTGTTAACTGCAGCTTGTAAGGATGCAGTTTAAGATCCAAGTTTAAAATTCGTTGCAAACTTCGTCGCGATAAGTGTAAGACAGACGATCTCTTACGAGTAGACATTTGTGGATCTCCTCGTACAGACTGCATAACTCTCTCAATATTGTCGTCGGTCCTAGATGTTCTTGGACAACCTTTTGCTTGTGGTTTAAACGTTGAACCAGTCTCTTCAAAACGCTGTACCCATATTTTAATTAAATTAGCACTCGGAGCTTTACTAATTTGCCGTAGTCCATATTCAGAACAATATAAACGCCTAGTAACGATGTATGAACGAGAGTTCTCGTAAAATGCGCACACGCAAAATGCGCGACGCTTCCCGTCGAAGTGACTCATAGTGACTAAGGCCCGTATTTTAAAAGACGTCTCAAGTGTCGGTTGAACTCTGATTGCCTGAAACTAGTTTTAAGTGCTGATCAAATCTTAAGTATCGATCTTATTATAGAACGCGTTTTAAGTTTTACTCAGTTGAAACTAGTTTCAAGTATTGAATTGAACTTACAGTCTGTTCTCAATTACGTTTCCGCGTGATTGACACTATTATTCCACATTACGCAGCTAATTATTTAAAAAATAATTTTCTTTTACAAAAATAATTTCTGTGAATTTGTATATAATATACTATTGCCTAGTGTAGCAATGTTAACATATTAACAAGGTTGTTGTTCGTTCAAAATTAAGTATAATAAATATTAAAATAAAAATGACTAGCTGTATGAATAGGCTATAACGGAACGTTCAAGTTATTTATCAACACTTGTCATGTTGAAATGTCAAACGATGTTTTTATTTGATATTTCTAAAATTTAAATTACTATACTTTTAACATAAACCAAAAGGTTGTGGTAATTTAAACTGGTATTGTGTGTGTAAAATGTGAATTTTGGGGAATTTCATATCAATTAAGGTAAATGAAAGTGAAATTGATGATAGTATGCCAAGTAATTCTTTCGTAAATAAAGTAAAGTAAATCTTTCGTAATCATTCAAAAAGAAATCATCGTACAACACATTCATTTCCCCTAAACGCCCTAGAAATCACCGCTTGAGACTAGCTTCAGCTTGTCTCACGTAAACAAAGATCACAGCTGTCAAAATCTATACCTGAGTAATGATTTCGACATAAACATCGTTCTAAAATAAGCTATCACTCACTTGAGTATGGATCGGTGAATCTCGTTTTAAGTGACGTCCAATAATAAAATCTCTACTTAAAATTAGTTTTAAGACTAGATTCACGACTGAGACACCTTTTAAAATACGGGCCTAAAACTCCATGAGCCCGCCTACCCAACGATACAGGCTCCCCCCGCCCGCGCACTTTCTACCCCGCGAAAAAAGATGATGCAATATGCACGTTCTATTGCGCCACCCTGTATTTTGTTTGATTTCATTAATTAATGTAAGTACAATGAATATTACCGTCAAGGCTTCTTCCATAGTAATGGCCTCCTTTCCAAGCGCCAGCGCCGAAGAACCCTGCTGCCAAGATGAGAGCCTTCAATATGATGAGTATCACCAGGTTAGTTAAATTTAAACTTAATACCTGTAAAGAGATAGATTTATGTTACTTGAATTATTAATCGCAATAATATTCCTTCATTGCCCGCTAACTCCGGTTCTTATTTTGAATTCACGCAATAACAATGTTTCGTTTGAAAAGTTCTCACAATATTTTCATGGAAATACGTTTTTATAACGAGCCTGCACACATACGGCCGTCTGATTTGAAATTAAGCAGAAACTATGCTATCGTAACCATCCTGTTGATAAATATATTTATATGTTTTGAATATACCTACGCATTTTATAGGTAACTTACACCCAGAGACAGAACGAATGATTCTCTATTTGTCCTTTGTGAGGATCGAATCCACAACCTCTGGTTTAGTGGCTAGTGATGCCACTAGACCTCTTCCAATTGATACAGCTATTGTTTTATATGCGGTAAACATTTAAGTTTAATATATTTTCATGTTAAGGATCTTTTTAAAATTAAATCAAATTAAATGAATACAAGAAAAGATAAAAAAACTTTTTTTACAATTTTATCTTCACGAATAATGCAGATTATTCTTAACAGTCACAACAATCTCGTAGATGGAGTGGGATAAATAACGTGGGATACGTAAAATAAGTCATAGTTTAAAAAAACTGAAAAACGCGTTTTTATAACTAGCCGAACTTTAACTTTAACATAAGTAGAAAATAATTTTCTATAACTTCAAAAATATATTTTTTTATGTACATAGTCGTATCGTTTCTTTAGTTTTTTTTTAAACTATAATTTAACACTAAAAAGGTAACAAGTTACTTAAGCTTCAGTACATGCCTCTTAGTACGTAGCAAAAGACACTACCGTATTTTTGGGTATGGAGAAAGCCTTTAATCCTGAAGGTTCTGATCAGGATAATCGCCAAATTTGTCAATTTATTGTATTGTCATCGGTCCTTGATAAGTGTGTCAAGTTTTAATTTAATTCGACGTTTTGAAGTGGGTCAAAATCACGTTCGAAGATTGCATTATATACATACATAGAAACCAACTAATAAAAGCGTGTAAATAAGATGTGAATTTTAACCACTTAAAACATATAGAAATAACTATACAGAGAAATAGAAAGACAGACTTGATTAACTGATAACAGTCCCTTTGACAGTGCTTTTACGTTATCTTAGATAATAAACAAACAATTTCAAGTCCCTAAAACCTCATTACGTTATTTTTAAACAATCTTTGCGAGACCTTTCAATGAATCATTTTCTAAGAATTTCGTCAAAACAAAAAGCGTATTCGTTACTCATGCATAAAACGCGTGCAGCTTTAAATTCTGAGTGCAACGTGTACGAACCTGAGACACGCAGTCAAAACCAACCTGACTGCTGCCCGTAGACCTGGAGATGAAGTCTCTCGCTATGCTGGTCACAACTTGCCCACCTGTGCCGCTGAGAAAGCTGCCCGCCGCGTCCAAAAACGAGGACCTCCCATACTGTGCAGTATCATTTCCATTATCAAATCTCGCGATAGAGTCTTGCTCGTCTTTGAAAAGCGCCGGGGGTTTTTCTCGTGGCAACAACGCATTAGTGTCGTACCCCTTCTTAGGATACATCTTCTTTGCATATTGGGGTGAGGAATAAGCTCCAGAATGTTCTGCGGATACAAATAACGCACTAGATAACAACAGAAAGTAAATTGCAACCATTTTGTATGGTGGTTGAAATGCAACTGCGGGTTGGAACAGGTAGTGTCCACAATAGCTTTAGATAGTTTGCAGTAGTCGGTCCGTGTTCCGTTGTTTTATCTCTTCCCTAGTTCTTTTGTTTGCACGCACGGTGACATCTCGTAATGGGTCTATTGTTATTGCGGTTTAGTGGCGAAATGGTATTTTTTACGAATAAATCTAATGAATGGATGCACTTATGTAAGTGCATTATGCTTTTGTTTGAGTATTGGCGAATTTTAAGGTAATTTGGATATTCTTTGGTAGGGAAAGATCATTACATTATACAATATATATATTTAAAGCATTTAGAATCAGAACCCAGGATGAATGGTTTAGCAGTTTAAGAGATTAGGCACGTGGTCAACTGTCACCATCTCGGGTGTACTCAGTGTCCACACGAGAACGAGTGCGACCTAAGGAATATTTTTTAGTACAGGTTTTGTATTTGGAACAAAATAAATTTAAACATAATTAACTTTAAAAAGTATGACCGATTTCAAAACGCATACACGGCCTCATTCGTAATGAATTGTAATAAACTGTATTCTTTATCAACTAATTTTCATCCTTGGGGTTGGAATTTTTTCTTCTAATTTGAATAATATTTAAAAAAGATTTTCTCGAGTCTGTTTATAAATGACGTAGTTCTGAGGGAACAAACACACAAAAAAGAACCTAGTGCTACATTTCTAACCGACTTCAAGTAAAGACCTGTTCGTCTAGTGGTTAGTGGCCATGACTGCTAAGCCGGAGGTCGTGGGTTCGATTCCCACCCAGGACAAATATTGTGTGATGAGCACGGTCATTTGTTCTGTGTCTGGGTGTAATTTATCTATAATATGTATGTATTTAAAAATATATAAGTATATTTATCAGCAATCTGGTTACCATAGCACAGGCTCTGCCTAGTTTGGGATCAGACGGCCGTGTGTGAGATGTGTATTTTTATTTATTGTTTGCTATTATTATTATTTGAGGTTATTACTCAAAATGTTTAGTCGTTAATTTTGAGTTTGTTAATTCGAGAAGATCAATCTGTTCTATGAAAACCAAAATTTACCTATCTGTACTAGTTAATGCTGCTTTTAAAGAGTATATCAGCAGTAGGCATAAAAAGCTACAGCAGGTGGTTCCACATGGAACAGAAAAGAGGAAGGTATTCAATCGGGAACGGTCAAGTGATGCGACCTCTGTTAGAAATGCTTGTAATCCGTGGTTAGTAACGACACCATCACGTTGGTCGTATTGTTAGTTTAGTGTTCGTAACATAATTTTATTGTATACTCACAAAAGTAGTGAATGTGGCCTTCTACGGTAATTAAGCGATCTATTTATCATTGAGACTTTACAAAATGAAATATTTCTATTATCATTAAAGTCTACTACAACAGACTGCACTGACTCGTCTTTTTTGTACTTCTGGGGAGGCTTCCTACAGGCAAAAGACTGAGAAGAAGCCAGGCTCAGACTCAGTCAGGCTTTTTTCATAATTCTTTGAACTTCTGTGTACTTGTTACGTTTATAAACATTTGACATTTAGTGTTAATTTGTAACATCTAATATCATCATCATTAACAGCCGTTAATAGTCCTGAACATAGGAGAATCATCATCAGAACACAGACATCCTCAGAAAGGTTTTGGCATACTTGGATTGTGTCAAGTTTTCCTTCTCTTTGAAGAGTACTGTTGTGCTGCAGACCTTGCTCTTTTAGTCGGTTCTTACGACACCCATAGGATGAATAGCGGTGATGATACTCCGTATTATTAATCCGTTACCACACGGAAATTGTATAATATATAATCGACAAAAACCTTATAATCAACCATTGTGCCGCGGCTCACCAACCATGATCACCTCGCCTAGTAAAAGAATCCTCCCTCTGTGGAAGGACATAACACTCGTTCGTCCATAGATGAATAGTTAATAACCCATTTACAAGTGTACAAGCCATTTATGTATATGGTGGAAGCTTTTTTATCGTCTATTAAAATAAAAAACGGACAGCACAGTTGTACAGTGAGCTGGTAAACAGATGGCCCTTTTTTGTTCATTCACTAAACGATATCAAGTACTTCAGTTGGCATGTACCACAAATACCGGCCCTTACGTAAATCATTATGTATTGAAACTATACTAGTTTCTTCTATGCTATAATACTATGCCTTTTTCAAAGGCAAACTGACTTTGACTGCACGGATGGCGTAGTGGTTTAAGCGGTCACCACGCCGCTTACTGAGTGTTGTTGTCCGATCCCCACATGGGACGACACTTTGTGTGATCCACAAATTATTATTCAGAGTCTGGGTGTTCTTCAAACTTTAAAGAAGAAAAGAAAAGAAAAACTCCAAAACGAATTGGCATGTTAAGTAGTTTTAATATTTAGTACGTCGGTTAGCCAGCGAGTTGAAAAAGTGAGTAAAATGACAACTTCATCCGTACATCACGCAATGCAATAGATATATAATATGTATATGCAATAAAACATTTGCTTTCAAGCTTTGTGACGCCAACCTTTAGTCTTGTATATTCCTCAATTGTTACTTTTATATCTTAGGACACAAAAAAAATTACAAAGATAATATTCTTCGTGATGCAATTATTTTAAACGGAACATCAGTAATGTGACAAAATTATAGTTAATTAGCAGCAGCTGCATACATTTGCAAGAGAACAAAATTGTACAATGTAGGTGACGATGTTAAACTTAGTGGAACACTTTTGTTTACTGATGTGATTTTGTTCCGTAATACACACATTTGGGCCGCTACTGTTATTGTGACATAACTATACATCACGACGTTTTGATTGACATGTTTTTAAGGTGGCACACATTCAACAATTAAAACGAATGCTGATCGCTTGCCATTAGTTCCAACGCTAAATATCTTAGTACTACAATTGCATAACCCAAAAACTTTTATGCTAGATGCCAGTAGTACCACAGGCATCTAGCATAGAAGTAATACCTACAGTATTATGTTGACATTGTTTTATGTTGTGTGAGTTAATACTTACAACATGGCTATATTAGAAAATAAAGTTACTTAAGTTCTTTTGTAATGTTTGATGGATATTTTTGACTTTATTTTAAAGAATTTCACTGACTCACTATACGAAAGGTTTAAAGGTTACTCAATTCTTTCCTTAACTGTCCACCATTTTGTTTTTTTTTTCAAATCATAGTACTATCATATCATATGAAAGCAAAAAGAAATTGCTCAGGAAAGTAAAATTACTTGATACTGCTCCTAAAGAAAGTGTAAGTAAAGAACCTTGAACAATAACATTGCTACTTATCTTTCATTATTGACTGTACTGTTTAGGTCATGCGTGACGCATCTTCATGTAATAGGCATCTGCCATTTATTGCTACTGCCATCTTGGCTGATAACAGACTCTCAATATGGTTAAAATATTAGTTTTAGTGTATATCGCTGTCTTCGTATATTAAAGGTCATAATGAAATAAATAAAATTGAAGTGTCATTTTGTAATATCAAAATAATAGGTTGTATTCATGCTCACACGGTTATTTGCACGATAAATATTCCTTTAAACTAGTTTTTTTCTGTCTATCTGTTTGTTCCGGGTAATCTTCTAAACGGTTGGACCGATTTTGATAATAGTTTACTACCAGGGCCTCAATTCTGCTATTTTATGTTTACGCCAAGCCAGTGTCATACCACTGACACGCTATTGAGATGCCATCGAGTAGCCATTGGCATCGGTATAAATATCGGTAGTTGAAAATATATTACGTTTTTTGAGGAAATGATTTATTTGTTTTTATTATAATAAATTATTAAAAGAAATAAAAAATTAAAATAACTTATTAAAAAAATAAAATTAAAAAAAAGAAACAAATAAATTAAAATAAATTATTAAAGAATAAAATATAAAAATTATTAAAAAAGAACTAAATAACAAATCATTTCCTCAAAAAACGAAATATATTTTCAAATTATAAGGAAATGACTTATTTATTTAATTTTTTTTTTTTATTTTAATAAATTATTTATCTTTTTTTATAATTTTATTTTATAACGCCAAGCCAGTGTCAGTGGTATGACACTGGCTTGGCGTAATAGCAGAATTGAGGCCCAGGTAGCTGCTATATAAGGAGTAACTTAAACTATACTTAGGCAACACTTCAAATTTCACGCGTACGAAGTCGCGTGTACCAGCTAGTCTAAGAATAAACTTTACATTGCTAAGAAAGTTACGTAAGCCTGAAGTGTTTAAAGACTCGTTAAATTTAACGTTACGTATTTTATAAAATTATAAAAACAAACATTTAAAATAAAATGGTTTGACAATAGCGAGAACATTTTATTAATAGATACCTACGAATTAGGGTGTCCTTAGGCTATTTGTGCTTGTGATTAAGATTTCAAAAAGTTGTAATAATTTATGTAGCGTTATGAGAAAACATAATGCATGTTTTCTCATAACGCTAAACGCATAAAAATAAAATCATTAATAATAAAATTTCTTTTATACATAAACAATATTTACTTACTCTGAGTACTTCAATGGTACTCTGAGTACTTAGGTGATCCATGGTCTACTGGGGACAAACCCGTCGTAAGTTGATGCCACTTCCTTCAACAGGAAAATTTTAATATGGTCAGCCGCAGGTCTGGGGGTGACAGCTAAGGCCATTGGTCACCCTGGCGGTAGCAGATCGAGCTGGCGGTGTGATGCGCTGTGCAGCGCGAGTAGAATTGGAACACCGTGGTTTCAACACGCGAGGGGGTCATCTACAAGCCGTAGATGCGTGTGGTACGTCAGTGTTCACTAATTTATCCTTACCTGTTAATATTGCTCTGTAATTTAATTCATCTTTTATTTAAGCGTATTATTATTGGTTTACAACCAACTTTTGAAAGATAAAAATTATGTAAATGTGTCTCTGAAGGATTGCTGATACTTATAGCACAGGATTACCTATTTTAAATATCAGCCGCTCATGTTGTG